GATGGCATTTTATAAGCGGGCGCAGCGTGAACAGGCGCTTTTTGCATTTTAAACTCCCATTTTATGTCCTGACACCTTGTGTTGCCAACGTTAAGTATGTTAACAGACCAGGCATAATCATCCGTATATACAGCGCGTCTTTTACTCACTCACCTTGCAGCAGAAGCGCTGGCAGCACTGCCGGCGCCACTTCCCGCAGAGCGTACCTGAGAGCGCAAGTTACGTTGGCTTGAACCTGCTCCTCTAACGCCCCAGCTGCCGGGGCCAACAGGGAAGCCACCATAAAAATAACCAGGGCCATAGCCGTAGTTTCCATATCCAGGCCAGTAACCGAAGTCACCGAAGCCACCAAGACCATAATCGTCGAAGCCATATCCGTAGCCACCAGGGTAGTAGTAGGAGGGGCCGTAACCAAAGCCGGTAAAGCCAGGAGTAAACTGTCCACCAAATGCGGATTGACGTCCGGCACCACTAACGCCGACCCTGCTTGAACCAGAGGGACCAACTCCAACGCCGAATGCACCTCCTGCTCCAGAACTTCCAACGCTCAATCCAGGGCCCGTTACAAAGCTAGATGAGCTGCCACTTGGACCAAACCCAGGTGCACTGCCAAACGGACCGCTGGCGCTGAAAGAACCGCCGGCGCCAAGCCCGCCAGTTCCTAAGCTACTGCCGAGTCCAAGACTTCCGCTAGCACCAGCTCCACTGCCCAAGCTTCCGACGTTCAGCTTTGCACCAGGTGCACCATGTGACAGCGATGCTGCATTTTAAAGAAAATGTATGATGCATATCAAGTGCTTTTATTTCTCTTCATGCCGAAAAATGCGACAGGTTGAAGCATGGGCTATAGCTATTCTTGAACTGTGCGGCTCTTCTAGTGGGACTCAAACCGGGGTCCACTGGGGGCCAGCCCAGTATTCTACCACTGAGCTACGCCGGTTTTTTATTTCTTTATAGCCTTCTTAACTACAGGTCCTGCCAACAGGTCGCAAGCAGCAGCTTAGCTCAGTGGATTAGCTCCACTGAGCTACGCCGGTGCTTGCGACCTGTTGGCAAACTTGCCATAGGCAGGCTTGATGTCCGGAAAGCAATCGCATTAATACGACTCATAAATCGTTTTTAAACAGCGAAAGAACAGCCAGTCGTCGCACAATGCGAATGGCGTAACGTGTGCACCGTCTAATGCTCCAACCCATTACATAAGCTTGTTCTTGTTCCAATATTATCTGTAGCACATACCCACGTCAGCCATATTTGCTCATCGTCGTCAGTCACTACATGAACAATTGACACAAAATTCCTTGCAAGTGTTTAGCGGATACCATGCTTCTCAAAAGAATGACAAATAATAGCATAGCGAATGCCGCCCTACTACCCGAAAAATTTTATTAATGCCCTAGTGGGCATCAAGCAAGTGTGCTTGCAGTATTTACGCAAAGAGTGTTTTAGAAAAGTTCTGAGAGGCCGCTCTTCTGGCTTTCACTGTGATGGTGCTGCACATTCCGCGCAGGCCCAGCGCATTTTGCAAACCCAATTCACAGGACACGAGTGTGCGTAAAGGATGAAAGTTATTTTCACTACATTTCAAAGTAGATGCATGGCTATGCTGTGTTCTGGTACGCCTGCTTGCCACGCAAACAGCTCTGATTCGATCCTAACTCGGACCTGGAAATCCTTATTATTAATACAAAAGTTTTTTACTTGATGTATAAAAAGTGTTGTTAGGTAAAACACTTACAAGTGTTTTACTTGACGTTGGAAATTATGTGTCAACAGATTCTAAGAAAAATACCAGAAGGAAAAATTTAATAGGCGGGCTTCAAACATGTGACCTCCCGCTTTGCAGCGCGTGGCATAAACAACTACAGGACAAAACGTATGGTGTCCAGCTAGGTAATTACAAGTCAATTATACACACTATGTATAATTAGCAGTCGTCACAGGTCAGCTAAGTCAGCGCGTTTCCATCATCAGTAGCGAGATGGTGCAAAAGGCACTTCTTGGGCACACTATGAAGGTCGTCACCATGCGCGTTGTGATGAGCGTGCGCCTACGCAGAGCGTGGCCCGTCCACGTGCGCATATCTCGTGATTCGGCCGTTTTGTGCCTTTTGTGTTTCCACTACGAGTTGGCTTTGAAGTTGCAGTAGTAAAATAGAGCACGAAGGTTCCTGTGCAGACTGCCGCAGCCGCGTTTACAAAAGGAGCACGCAGCTCACACACGAGGAAGTAAGAGTTGTCGGAATTCGGGCTCGTCCTGTGTATACCTGCTGGTTTGTTTCGTGCGTCTTTCTTACTGTTTGAGCAGCGCGCGTTTGGTACCGAGCTTTGACAGTTCTTAGTCCACCCTTTTCCTGTGTATGCTCAGTTCATGCATGCTTACCGCTTCAGGTGGGCGCTGCTAGTTTTGAGCTCTTTGCCGTTCTTAGTGTGACATTAAAATTTGTTGATGTAGCAATAATTCCTTCGCCCTTCTGGCGAAACATGCACAATTATCACTCAAATTTCTCTGTGAAAACACGCTTAACGTTCATGTTATACTGATTCCTATACAGAGGATTGATCCACTTTTCAAAAATTTTATTAGCTTCTCTCTTGGTTTTTCAGTCACAGACAAGTTGGTGATTTTTCGCTCACAACTAACTATTCTCACGGTGGCGCTGACGCCGAACATTCTGCGAAACGAGCTCTGTAATGCTCTCGCGTAATATAAACAATGCGTCGCTCTTCATGCAAGCTTCATACAGACCTTTACTCTGATATACCAAACAGACAAAGAAGGAACCATTGTTTGTATGTCAACCGAAGTGAAAAGGGGGAGTGTATCTTTTCAAGCGATGCTCTCCTTCTTTAAAGAGACACTGAAGACAGATAAGAATTTTTCAGAGTGAAAGCTCAATCTGTGATAACGTTTTAAACACCATAATCAATTGCATATGAAAGGAGGAAATAAAGGATGAAGTTTTACTTTAACACTGGGCGCCCAAATTTCGGTGAGTGACTTTAAGGGCTCGAAATTGTATTTTCGTATTTACGTAACATTGGCTGACAAAATTTTATGATACTAAGTACGTTAGGTGTATGGCAAGCATATATAAGAATGTACATTCGTTTTACTGTTTAGATACGACGTAAGACCTACTAGGCGCCGTCAAAACCTCTACGCCACGGTCTTCGGTGCCGGCATCCCAAAGAGGCCTCTTCACTCGCATTTTGTTTTCGCGCCATCTCTCACTTTGCAGGCGTCCTCTTGCGACAAGAGTAACAGTTTCGGGATGGTGGAATCACACTTTCGTTAATACGCAAAAAACTCGTTTTTTCAGTAGCGTTCCTTACAAAGAAAAAAAAAAGAGACTCCCTAAGCTTTTTATTGGACAACAATCTTGGGCACGCAATACCCTTGCTGTCAGTAAACGTTTATTCTTTCTCTCTCCTCTGATAAACTATATATAAAAACACGTGGTAAAGCGTGCTCTAGACGGCACTTAAAAGTTCCAGAATATGACCAAAATTTACATGTGTTGTAACGAGGGCCGCGTACACGGAGCTCAAATGGAGAAAAGAAGAAGACGATCTGTGATCGCTCGCTTTCGTCTAGTTGGTTCTTGCGCTAAATAAATCTCTCGTTCACCGAGTCATGAACCATCATCCCAATCATTTCACACCTTATTTTACGAGAACATATTTATTCAAGTTTTCTTTTTTCCCACCCACCGTAACAGACTGGAATGATTCATTGTAGCAATTATTCACAATGGGATCATTGCTAATTGTATTGACTATATTTGTGTTTGCTTCGATTTGTTGTTCTTTTTATCTATTCTGACCCTGCTTGGACCTGTATAAGGTCTGCTGTAATGAATAAAAGAAAAAAAGAAAGAAAGAAATAAGAAAGAGAAAAAACTCCTGCTTGTGGTACACCTTATTTTAGTGGTATTGGTGAAAGGCTTATTGACGCTATAGTGATACGCACTAGCAGTAAAGAACGGTAAGAAAGTGAGCAATGCTGATGTGTGGAATGATTACAGTAAACATATGGAATGGCTAAGGACTAACAAGAAGACATAACACATGTTCACTACCATTACAACATGCGCTTACGTTGTCAACGCGGCAATCATGAAATGCGATGAAAGAGTAATGCAACAAATTTCATTCCAAATCGCATACCTAACCAATACAGATGAGGTTGTAAGCGTGCTTCTACTTACTTCATTCTGACATGTGCCCCCTAAAAATTAATTTAGCAGTTGCCTGTTCTCTAGCTCCTTTTTCAAAGCAGCGAAGACTTGCTAGCTGAAATACTTCCATCAAAGATGAAATAGTAGTAGGATTGATTAGGTAATATGAGGATATGTAATATGCTCGTTGCGATATGCAATATGCTTGTTTCTTGCACACCCTATTCTGAGGCACCACTTGGCCGGAGATGGAGGGTGCAGGAGCACGATGGGCTTCGTTAATGTTTCTGCATATTTAAAGCGTAAAATAAACCCGCAAATGTGCTCTACACTATGGCAATAAGTGAGCATAATTGTCCGTGCATCACGGCTGTTTTAGGTTGTGACTATAAGTGGTCTCTGTGAGCAATCTTTATGTTGCTACATATTACAGACATCAGCCACTTGGGAGAGTTGTTTTCTGAAATGCTGCGAACTGTGGCGATCATCTGATAGTTTTTGTTGATTTATGGTTGTCTGTCACAAATTCTCAAGCAAAAAACAGCCGATATTCTTAGCCTAAATCTAGCTTTTACTTTTAGCAGTTCACTACCTTGTTTATAAACGTCTAGATGGTGCTTTGTTGGATGCGTTATTCTGGGAAGAAAACGTGGTTTCATCGATGAATTATGGGTTTGCTTGAAAAAACGTTCTTCTGCGCTTTATTTTCTAGCTATAAACACGTTGAATTTCCTGATAGTAAAGGCGTCGTGCCATAATACCATATAATATTTTGTTGATCGTACTTTTGTCGAAGAATTACAAGTCGACGTACGGTCGTGAGTTGAGCCCTTCCTGTTCTTATGCCCTCACATTTATGATCATGGTGCTGCTCCTGATGGCGGTAAAGTTGGACTGGTTCAAGATCAATTACAGTAACTCCAAAGCTTCGGGATCATTCGTTTAACTCGTATGAAGCGTATATAGGTCTTACTTGTCAAATTGATTTCTTAAGGAACTAAAGTGAAGCCTCGTTTTAAACACAATAACACAAATGCAAAACAACTTCATCATTGTTTTGTAGGTTATGTTTCGCAGTGCTTACATGCTACAAGGAAAAGTAGTTCTGTTAATCCATAATATTCAGAGTTGCAGTGCTGAAGTGATGTCATCGTGATAAATGGTAAAATGTTTGCTGAGATGCATTATGTTGGCCATTGAGTTCTAAAACTAAAACAATGGCGTCTCGTTAGTTGGATGGCGCTACTTTTCATACCAGCACAACGACGGAACCACGAGAGATAAGCCTAGATAAATGGTATACATAAAAAGAAGGTGCCTTACCGACTGACAAAAGCGCGACTGCAATGAAAGCCTTCATGGTTGCGGTGTTCTCGGCGTCTACCCTCTGACTGCCCGCAGAAAAGTGCGATTTTCAAACGCGTGGCCCCGTATATATAGCACGACTGCTGGACTGCGTCTAAGTATTATTCCAGTATTCCAGCACCCAGGTAAATGCAATTTTTTTACCGTGTGTTTTCTATCAAGCATTATTTGGCTCAACAAAAGAAAGGGTATATGCTCATTTTCTTTTCTTATTTTCAGCGAACAATGTCTGTTGTCTCAGGCGGTATCACACTTAAATGTGGCAAGGCAGCAACTATTGTTCATTTTGCAGGCAGAAATGCTAAAGCAGTGTAAATGGCTTGCCGTACCTATTTTACACAAAAAGAAATTGAACGCATATATCAGAAACGCCTTGACTCTGTAGCGTAACGGTGCACTTTTGAGCAAGCTTTCTTGCCACAGCCCATGGTTCTGCACAATGCTTTTTGTTTGTCTTCTTAAACTGCTACGCACAAGCTTTTTTTTTTAATTCTATTTTGCTGAATACTCCGGACTTTTCTATAGAAGCACATGATTCCATGTTTGAACCGTTCTTCGTTTCATCTTTACATGTTAATAGTAATATTATCTGGGGTTTTCGTCCGACAACCATGATTTGATTATGACAGACGCTCTAGTCTAATTCTTCCAAATTTTTGACCATCTAGGGTTATTTAATGTTGAATTCCAATAGCAGATCTCTAGACCCGGGCCACATTGCGAATGGAGCGCGCAGATCGGAGCGGGACAGCTCTCGCCAAATCTGTGATTGGTAAGCTCGCGTCTGGATGGGAGCAGTTGGTGAGCGGAAATCTAGCGAGGAAGCACGAGAAGGTGCGAGGGAGTGCGAAGCGTTTTCCGAACACCCATCGGTGATTGGATGAAAGACGGGTGGACAGAATACGTCACTTTAAGTTCCAGTAAATATGCCGATTTCGGCGGAGCCCAAATTCTTGCTCCACGGAGCAATCTGTGATCTGCGGTTGCTCTCAATCTGCCATTGGAACATAAAAATCACGCTCCCAATCCACCATTGTTATGCGATTGCTCCGCTAAGAGCAGAAAAACTTGATCTGGATCTACCTTCAGAATTCTACATTGCATACCCCTAAATCTAATTACTGGAGCCAGAAACAATTTCCCCTCCAGCGTAAATGCAGCAAGAGCCGCGGGGATTTCGCCCCGCCGCGGTGGTCTAGTGGCTAAGGTATTCGGCTGCTGATACGGAGGTTGTAGGATAGGAGCCCGGCTGCAGCGGCTACATTTTCGATGGAGGCAAAAATGCTCTAGGCCGTATGCTCAGATTTGGGTGCACGTTAAAGAGCCCCAGGTGGTCAAAATTTCCGGAGCCCTCCATGACGGCGTCTCTCATAATCACATGGTGGTTTGGGAACGTTAAACACCACATATCAAATCATCATATCAGCGGGTATTCAATCCCGTTACGTCCGGGTTTTCAGTCAAGTGCCATAACGACTAAACCACCGTGGAGGTGCCACATTTGATTTTCTAACACACTGTTAGCTTTTGGCTATATCTCAGCTTTAGGGGGCCAGGTGTACGTGCCTTATATGAGGACTTGCACGCAGTATTAATATATATATATATATATATATAAATATATATATATATAATAGATATTGTATATATGTATATATGTATATGGGAAAGAAGTGTATACCTAAGGGTTCGTTTTTTCCGTGTTTTGATACAACATTAATGATATCTAACAGACAGTAATGCCAAGGAATGTACAGGGGAGGTTATTAAAACCAATGGAATGTAAATAAGAAGAAAGAAAAGTGGGTGAAAAATAACCAGCCGTGCTCACGGCTGGTTATATATATCCTTTTGATTCAGTAGAAATATTAGCAGCCATGCATACACTGCGAAACCAGGCTGTCGATAAGGCATATATATACAGGCTGGAAGAAATCTACAGGGGATCAACTGCTACAATAGTGCTTCATAAAGAATGCAACAAAATACGTACCAATCCAGAAGGGTGTAAGGCAGAGGGATACAATCTTTCCAAAGCTATTTACCGCGAGCTTACAGGAGGTTTTCAGAGGCCTAGAGTGAGAACAGTTAGGGATAAGAGTTAATAGACAGTACCTTAGTAACTTGCGCTTCGCCGATGACATTGCATTGCTGAGTAATTAGGGGGACGGATTGCAACTCATGATTACGGAGTTAGACAAGGAGAGCAGAAAGGTGGGCCTTAAAATTAATCTGCAGAAAATGAAAGCAATGTGCAACCACCTCGGAAGAGAGCAGCGCTTTGAGATAGGTAATAGTGCACTTCAAGTTGTAAAAAACTATGTCTACTTAGGGAAGGTAATAACCGCGGAGCCAAACCACGAGATTGAAGTAAGTATAGAAGAATAAGCATGGGGTGGAGCACATTTGGCAAGCAGTCTCAAATTATGACAGGTAGATTACCACTATCGCTCTCGAGGAAGGTATATAACAGCTGTATCTTGCCGGTACTTAGCTACATAGCATAAACCTGGAGGCTTACAAAGAGGGCTCAGCATAAATTGAGGACGTTGCAGCGAGCAATGCAAAGAAAACTGGTAGGTGTAACCTTAAGAGACAAGAAGAGAGCAGAGCAGATTAGGGAACAAACGGGGGTTAAGGGTATCATAGTTGAAATCAACAAGAGGAAATGAACATGATCCGGGAATGCAGTGCTTAGGCAGGATAACCGCCGGTCATTAAGCGTAACTAACTGGATTCACGGAGAAGGCAAGCGGGTTAGGGGGAGACAGAATGTTAGGTTGGCAGATGAGATTAAGAAGTTTGCGGGTACAAATTGGCAGCAGGAAGCACAGGACCGAGTTAACTGGCAGAACATGGGACAGGCCTTTGTCCTGCAGTGGATATAGTCGAGCTGATGATGATGATGACGACGATGATGATTATGGTGATGATGATGATTATGATAATGTTACGAGTAACTTGTTTAATGATCTATTTACAGCGCACAGAACTCGACGAGTAAGATGGCGCCAGACCAGCATCCAACGGAAAAACCCACTTCGTCCTCCTCTTTCATGCAGCCGTGTTTAGCGGCTGTTTTTCATCATAACCCCCGGCGGTAGAAGCACCGTCCCGGTGCTAAATTTACGCAGATGATGTCGAAGGGGGGTAATAGGGCTTTAGCCGAGCCACGGGAACAATGTCGCTCGGAGCTGACGATGACTTTGTTGGATCAGTTGGAACAATCTCGTACGTGACGTCTGTCACTTGGCGTACGATACGGAATGGTCCAGTGTAGGGCGACAACAGTTTTTCCGACAGTCCCACACACCGAGTAGGTGACCAAAGGAGCACGAGAGAACCAGGAGAAAACTGCACGTCCCTATGGTGAGAATTGTAGAGCTGTTGTTGGCGCGCCTGTGAAGCCTGTAGACGGTTACGGGCGACTTGGCGCGCGTGGTCGGCGCGGGCAATGGCTTCACCAGCATATTCAGTGGCCGCAGGTAGTAACGTGTCTAAAGGTAGAGTTGGGTCCCGGCCATATAGTAGATAGAAGGGCGAATATCCGGCAGTGTTGTGACGAGATGAGTTGTAGGCGAACGTCACATACGGCAAATGAATGTCCCAATCGTGGTGGTCTGGCGCAACGTATTTGGCAAGCATATCGGTTAGGGTCCTCTTAAGACGCTCCGTGAGGCCATTTGGCTGGGGATGATACGATGTAGTTAATTTGTGCTTGGTATGACAAGACCTCAGGATTTCATGAATGGCAGCTGATAAGAACGTGCGGCCACGGTCGATGAGAAGTTGACGGGGAGCACCGTGCACTAATATTGTGTCGTACAGCAGAAAGTCCGCAAGGTCGGTAGCGCAGCTGGTCGGGAGTGCTCGTGTGATTGCGTACCGCGTCGCGTAGTCCGTGGCAACAGCAATCCATTTATTTCCGGCTGTGGAGAGTGGAAAAGGGCCCAACAGGTCGAGACCAACTCGAAAGAAAGGCTCGTTGGGAACGTCGATCGGCTGAAGGTAGCCGGCTGGGAGGGCAGACGGCGTTTTGCGACGCTGACAAGGCTCACAAGCGGCGACATAGCGTCGAACAGAGCGGGCAAGTCCAGGCCAAAAAAACCGACGTCGTACTCGATCGTACGTGCGAGAAACGCCCAAATGGCCCGTTATGGGAGCGTCATGGAGTTGATGCAGGACAGAGGAACGCAGGTGCGCTGGGATGACAGGAAGTAAGTCTGATCCGAAGGAATCAAGGTTTCGGCGATATAAGATCCCGTCTTTCACCAAAAACATTCGTAGGGGCGGGTTGCGTGGCGTTGACTCCAGTTTGTCAATGATGGCTCGTAAAGAAGCATCCCGACGTTGCTCTTCGCCAATGTTTAACAGCTGCGACACGGAAAAAACGTCCGTGATAGCGTCGGTATCGGTTGCTTCGTCAACAGGGTAGCGGGATAAACAATCCGCATCCTGATGTAATCGCCCTGTTTTGTACATTAGAGAGAACGTGTACTCTTGAAGGCGTAGAGCCCAACGAGCGAGACGTCCCGTGGGGTCCTTCAGGGAGGCTAGCCAGCAGAGCGCGTGATGATCCGTGACAACACGGAATGAGCGCCCGTACTGGTGTGGGCGAAACTTGGCGACTGCCCATACGAGGGCGAGGCACTCGCGCTCCGTGATGGAATAGTTGCGCTCGGCTGGAGATAGTAGTCGAATTGCGCAGGCTATAACACGGTCGTGTCCGCGTTCTTGCTGCAATAGCACGGCTCCTATGCCGTGTCCGCTGGCGTCCGTGTGAACCTCGGTTGGGGCTAATGGATCAAAGTGAGCCAATATTGGTGGCGTTGTAAGCAGTGTCGTAAGTTGCGAAAACGATGACGCTTGATCATGGCCCCAGGTAAACGAGGCGTCTTTCTTCAAGAGGTCGGTGAGTGGGCATGCAATGGTCGCAAAGTCCTTAACAAAGCGTCTGAAATACGAGCACAACCCCACAAAACTGCGGACATCCTTTGGGGTCCTCGAAACGGGAAATTTCGTGACTGCACGAATTTTCTATGGGTCTAGACGCACGCCTTGGGCATCGACA